AATAATCCAAACAATAGCATAGTAAACAGAGATCATAAATTGATAATAATTCAAGCGGTAGCTCAAACACTAATATAAATCAGTTAAGAAATTCCGACGAGATTGAAGAATAAATAGACAAAATAATATAAAATAAAAGCCTCAAAAAACATCTTGAACTGGTTTTAAATTCAGATGATCTCGAACAAGTTCTAAATTATGATGATATCGAAATATATATTACATATAAATTATTCATGTTTGTTATGTATAAGAAAAAAATATAAATATTATTTTATTTTTCTGAAATTAATTACTCAGTAATAGGCTATATGACTAGGGGTGGTATCAGTTCGGTTACCGAATCGATAAGCGTATATCGATACCGTACCGATAGTGTCGGTAACTTTGGAATGCAAAACCGATACCGAACCGATTAAAGTCGGTTACCGAATTTAACTCGGTTCGGTATCGGTTTTAAACCCAAAAAACCGAACCGAATTTGAGCACAAAAAAAAAATTGTTAATGTTTACTTTACTCGCCATTTTTGTAATTTTTTTCACTTTTTATCAATTAAATACACACAAAAGACTCACAAATCCATTGAAGGATTAAAAAACTTAAATTTAATGTATAGAAGTTAGTTTATATATTATTAGATTATGGTTTTTGTGGTAAACGCAACTAATAAAACAATATATTGCTAACATGCAAGAAATAAAATTTGTGATACAACTTCAACTAACTCATTTAGTAACGGTGGTACGAGAATAAACTACAGTAACGGTAGCATGCATCTTCTTTAAAAGAAGTGAGACTGGTAAACCAACAATGTTCCGATTAGAAGGTGAATGAGGCGATGAGTAATGGTATTTTTCTCGTCGTTTTGAGATTTAGGTAGCACTGAGCCCTTATTTCAATTTTTGAACACTAAACAACTAATCATTGTTTTAATATTTTAAAAAAAAAAATCTTTGTTTTATTTTTTTTCCCTTATCGGTTCGGTATCGGTTTTACCGAACTCTTATGGGTTCAAACCGATACCGTACCGATAGTAATTCGGTAACCGACGTTACAAGCGGTTCGGTACGGTTCAGTTTATATTCTCGACGGTTCGGTTTAGTTCGGTTAGATTTTCAGTTTGGGGTTAAAAAATGTCAGCCCTATATATGACCCAATAACCCAACTGAAAAGCCAACCGAATAATTTATGGGGTCAGACTTGAAAACATTATTTTAACAATGTACAAAATTGTAATTAATAAATTTTTAGTGACTTTAAAAGTTTTGAAATTTGAAGTATTTAATTTGAAATTTTTTGAGACTTTAAAAAAATTTACATGGAACTAATTATGTAGGACGAAAGATGTCATGACGGAACTAAGGGAAATCAACAACAATAAAGGAAAAATTGACTGATGGAGAGAGATTAATGGAAGACAGATTGATGAAGCATTGAACTTGGATGCATACATAGAAGTTCGAAGATGCACTTACCTAAGTTAAGTTGAGAGTTTATTTTTGAAAATTGCGTTTTGAACCTATTTACCTTTGTATAATCCTCCTCCTCCTATATATTAATTCAAAACATGTTGAGCCTAAGTGGCAGGCTCGCACATTTTGGAATCATACGTGTCAAAATATCTTGCTTTATATTTAGGTTCGGATAAAAATTTTGGAAACATAATTGACTTGGAATCAACCATAAATAGTTATTTCATCTTACTTTATAAATCTATCTTTCATTACTATAAAATTATTGCCTTCCATAAATTTGTTATTAATCAATATCCTATAAATCTCTCTTTCATTACCATAAATTTATTGTCTCCTATAAATTTAATATTAATCAATATGAATACGACTGGAGCTGAAAATGAATTTTCTCTTACATATACAAAATAAAATAATCTCTCTTACGTATACAAAATGAAATTTAAGTTTATAAATCAAAATGAATTGTATACATAAAATTTAATTCTCGAGTATGGCAAATCCATTTGCTGGACAAAATGAAAGTTCATTTATATACAAAATAAAATTTAAGTTTACATTACAGAGTGAGTTGTATACATGAAATTTAATTCTCAAGTATGACAAATCAATTTCATTTATGATTTATGGGAAATGGCAACCCATATCTACCAAATTCTAATTTACTGTGATCATTTATGTTATTCCTTATTTTGTTTAGCTATATATTTTGTTTCTATTTTCTTAGCCACATCCCTCATGTCTTTGACAAAACTTTCTGTTGAAATGAATAATCTATTTACTGCCATAAATAATTCTATTCACACATCTCAACATTTTTGTACCATGTATAAATATAGAGAAATGCTTTAAGTACATAATATTGTACATAGGAGTGTACATAACATAAACAACAAAAATTCTATGGAGCCATCGAATTGTTTTCTTATGGAGCCATCCACCACTTAGTGTATTGACACCTGTCCAAAGTGTATTTATTGCAGGACACGTGTCAATACACTATTGGTGAATAAGTGTGGATAATTCTATAAACCGAGCCATCCGATGGCTCCATAGCAAAACTAAACACTCACATTAAGTGAGACCTACCTAAAATAAAAAATCAAGTAGACTTCACTCCATGTGAGTGTTATGTACACCACTATGTATATTTATTATGTACTTCTAACATTTTTCATAAATATAAAATGAACTATTTATACCATTCTTTTTTATTTGAGTAGGTGAGGAGATTATACACTACGGCTCACGCAAAAAAAATGGCAAGGACATTCAAAAAATTAAAATAAAATTGATATGTTTATCTTTAAATATTTTGATGTAAATATTTCTTAATTGAATATCCGTGTAGTACACAAGCGTTGTACTAGTCTTGTATAAAGAGAAAATTATCTCTCGGATATTTTAGTTAGTCAAGTTACGAGAGAATAGAAAAGTAGAGAGCTTATTGTGAGATCAATTAGGATTTTATTCATTTTATTAGTACGTGATCAGATTGGAGGGTCTATTCATCACTTTTTAGGCAAATCTATATATATCTAAAAAGGTTGATGTAAAAATCCTTTTTTAGAAACCTAAAAATAATTGAATTGACTTTTGACTTTCCATTTATGTATTCTACTTTAATTAAGCAAATGGATATTCTCCTTAATAATGCTGATATTTCCGTTAATTAAGCATGTGAAATTGATTGTCCGTTGCAAAAATCATGGGACTTACTATCTATCCAAATACAATCCATAATTATCTTATCACTTTTGATTAATAAAAAATTGTATAAAAGGATATTCACTACCACCATTACAACTCATCATTCACGAGTTCAGAGAAAAAAAAAATACAGAGAATACTTATACAATATACTGCTTCCAGGCTGGGGTACACTTGATTCCATTAACCAAAGAAACAAACCTTTTTTTGCGTCTGAGAGCAGTCCGCATTATTGAAACCCATCACGAACCGGAGAGCTGTAACGCATTTTCATGATGAACAGGTAGTTATTTCAATTTTATATAATTTAAAAAATTATTTTAATTAATATTTATAAATTTGTATCGTAGGGTGTAATGCATTTTCATGATGAACAGGTAGTTATTTCAATTTTATATAATTTAGAAAATTATTTTAATTAATATTTATAAATTTGTATCGTAGGGTGCTTTCATTATATGCATAATACGTTATCCGAATATGAGAGTAACAAACTTTATATAAACTGAGACCAGTCTAATTTTTGTAAAATATGTAAACTTTAAACGTGTTTTTATATATAAAATTGTATATACTTTTAAACATGTTAGTTGGGCAAATTTTAAGGATATATATGTGTGTGTGTATGCTAACTTTAAGTATATATATTTTTCTTATAAAATAGTCTAGACAAAATTGAGGTAATTTCACATTTTTCAATAATAATATAAAATATTTTAATACTTCACATATGTTATATAATAGTCTACGTATTCTTAATGTCTTTTGGTTGTAACATTGTTAACACATATAATATTAGATACTTTTAAACATATTTGGATAATTTTTTTACTCATTCTTTAATATCTATGTGCATAAAAAGAGAATAACATTTATAAAAGATTTTCCGGCAATATACTAAATGTTAGATAAAAAATCTCATTTTATTTGTTATATAATATTTCGAGTTGCATTAATTTTGATTTGTATGTGTAAAATTGATAAATTAAGCGTATGAAAAGGAGCGTACGAATTACTGTAAGGATTTAAAAAATAAAAAATAAATCTAATTTTTGATATTTTCTACTAACTTCTAAACGAATTTATGTCATAATTCGTCATAATTTTCCCACATCATGTCAATATTTATTTTATATATACTAGGTAAAAGGTAAATATTATCGCAATATTTATTCTATATATTCTAAGTAAATCTTCTCATCTATCTCAACGGTCCGCAGATAGTATTTTATACTTTTCTATTCATAATCAAATATATCAAAGCTTCACAATTTTACTTCACAAAAAAAGTGTTCAATAATTTATATTTTTTTTTTCCTTCTTTGCAATCCATTTATTTTTGTTACATATATATAAATTATATTATTTTTAATATTTCACACGTTAAACATTTCAAGAAAATATACCATCCCGTGCATCGCACGGGCTACGCGCTAGTCTTCTATTATTCATAATGGTGCTTGAACTGAGAATCATTCACTGTTCGGAGGGATTCGTACATGCATATCAACTCGACGCATGGGTAAAAAAGTAATTAGATTGCTCTATTTTATTGTTATATGGCATAAATAATCTTATGTGGCATAAAAAATGTTTAGAAGGCATACAGGTAAAAGTCATTATAAACAATTTCTAATATTCAATTTATCTCTTTTTTTCGACTAATTATAATTTTATACATCACAAAAGGCACTACAATTAACATTAATAATTGAACATATAATTTTTTAATTTCTTTTCTCCACGTTCTACGTCACAAAATGAACAACTTTTCACTGACTATGCTCTTATTTATTAGTATTAGAGATTCTTTAAAGGGGTGAAATGGGAACTTGCTGCGTGTGGCCGTCCAAACCACATGCCATTTCATTGGTTTTTCCAGTCGGTGCCTGAAATACAAACACCATACAATACAACATCACAAAACATCGAGAAACTTCCCATTTTTTCTCCTATCCATTAAATAAGTAATTCGTAATTCCTAAGGGTCGAGTAATTTGAGAAAATGGCGTCGTTTAATGAGGCACCTCCTGGAGATGCAAAAGCCGGTGAGAAGATTTTCAAGACCAAATGCGCCCAGTGCCACACCGTCGACAAAGGCGCCGGCCACAAACAAGGTTCTTTACTTTTCCGATTATCTCCTTCATTGTTCAGTAACTCTGTTTTGTAGATTTAATTTTTCTTTGTTTTGATCTGTTAGTTTTGCTCTTGATTTTGGAATTTTATTTGTGGTTATATGCTTAATAATTCTGATAATAGCTACTGAATGTAAATCCAGTTTTGTTCTTCCGATATATATGTGAAATCAGCTTTTCTGGTGCTTTTACATTTTAGCATTGTGATAAACGAAATTCTATCATTATTTGATACATTTCTGTAACAGTTGGCTACTTGTGATATTGTCAATCTGTAATTGCCCCCTTTCTCAACATTTTTTTTTTTTTTTTTAATTGATTACTAATTTTGAATGCTTATATTGTTGCTGCTTTCTGTGTCTCAAATGCGTGCAGGTCCGAATTTGAACGGACTATTCGGGAGGCAATCTGGCACCACTCCTGGTTATTCATACTCTGCTGCCAACAAGAACATGGCTGTTATATGGGGAGAGAGTACTCTCTATGATTACTTGCTCAATCCTAAGAAGGTACTCTCCATCATGCGTGTATCGATTCTAGTCATACCCCAAACGGGATTTATATACTAAAGTGTTATGCTCGAATATATTGCTTAGTATATGTAATGGTTATATTTTGTCTTGAGCTGGGTAGAAACTGATTAATGTTTCATATTCCTCATTCCTTTTATTTAAAATACATAGCTCTTGATTGTCTTGCAACTTCTAGTATGAAGTTTGTGCATTGCCATTCCCCATTTTTTACATGAAGTAGACAATATATGTTATGTGGGATTGAAACTTTGTATGACAAAATTGCATATTGTCGTTTTCTAGAGTGAGAATGTTTGCGGGAGAAATTATAATGGAAAATAAAATACATTTTTGCAGTACATTCCTGGAACCAAGATGGTCTTCCCCGGGCTGAAGAAGCCCAAGGAGCGTGCGGATTTAATTGCCTACCTCAAGGAATCTACCGCCTGAATATATTTATTTTTCTCACTGAGTCTTCGAATTTCTTGCTTTTGGAAGGTATTAGACATTACTTTCCAACTCAGGATTCTTCTTTTTCCTTTCTTTGTAGAGAGAAGTGGCTTGAGTGATACATCCGTACCAAATAAGGGCATCGGAACTTTTATGTTGCGAACGACTTATTTTTTATTTTATTGCCTTGTAAGTTGTAATAATTCATGATACTCTGTCTGCCATTGAAGAGTCGTATGACACTTATGATTGTCGTTAGTTGATTTGGCTCGTATTTGACATTCTATGTGGCTCTCGTGTGTGGTGTCGCATTTTGAGGTAGCAAATTTGTAATGTTGGTGCAGAGTGATTATTGTGGTTTATATGTTGGTGATGAGCCAAATGTTAATTAGATTCATGGCTCATTGAGCCTATCTGAGGCTATCCATGCATGACAGGCTAGCCTGATGAAAACTGAAAAGGAAAGAAAAGAAAATTAAAAATTAAGAGAAATGAAGGAACCTCGTAAGCTAATTATGTTTGAACATATTTTCCTTGGGTTTGTTTGCACGAGCACAAAAGTTCAACTCAAATAGGAGTTTTAGGTTGATTTTATGAATTTGATCATATTTTTCTTGCAATTATAATGGAAATCTCGTATCAATTTCGTGCTCGTGGCATGCTATCAAGTTCAATCCACGGTATCGTAAGATTATTTGATGAAATCCTTTGGTTCTTAAAATAAAGATCACGTAATATAGCAGCATTCTCTAATTCTCATGAAACTTTGATCAATCTGTAAGTCGTTTAAGTGCATTTTTAGACATTGAGGTTGTGTTTGAACCGAAAATTTTCATAGATTTTAAATAAAAAAATTATTTTTTATTCTACGTTACTCCTTCAATATTTTTGGTTTGAATTGAAGGATTTAAAATCCTAATTTAGATAAGTAATTTTTTTATTTTTTTTAACTTTATTACTAAAATTTGTTGTCTGAATCTGGATGTATTCCTCTGTTTTCTTTTGATTCCTTTAGGGCACCAAGTGGTGTGTTCCTCTATTCTTCCCCGTTGGGTTGATTGTATGGCTTATTGCCTATCCTTTTATACATTTTCTGAGTAATATAATCTGCCGTTCCA